ATGTGAGAGAGACATATTGATCAGTTGTCTCCTGCCTATGCCCCAAGCAGGGACTGAACCTGAAACCTAGCCATGTGCCCTGACTGGAATTGAACCTCAGACCTTTGGTACACAGGACCACACTCCAACCAACTGAGCCACACCATCCAGAGGAGACCTGTATTTTTGATAGAACAACTGCTATGATATGAAAAGTAATATCAATCCATCTTCCTCACTTTAATGCGGTCATATTTATCCATTTTTCCTTCATGATTTGTTCACCCATTTCACCAAGGCAGGAACTGAGACACAGCTAAGAATCCTCTCTCACTCTCATCCACCTGTCCCATCTCTGCTTTCTCAACTCACTCAAGGCCTCTCCTCCCCACCAAAGCAGGTATAAGTGAGGCTGCCTGGTTGTGAATGTGTGTGCATGTGAAAACTGGCTTCTCTTCTATTTATTTATTTTTTTAAAATTTTTTAAAAATATATTTTATTGATCTTTTCAGAGAGGAGGAGAGAGAGATAGAGAGCTAGAAATGTCAATGAGAGAGAAACATCGACCAGCTGCCTCTTGCACACCCCCTACCAGGGATGTGCCCGCAACCAATGTAATGCCCTTGACCGGAATCGAACCTGGGACCTTTCAGTCCGCAGACCGATACTCTACCACTGAGCCAAACCGGTTTCGGCCTGGCTTCTCTTTTAAAGGGTGTTTGTCTAACATACATATTAAAAAGTATGAAAAAAAAAAAAAAAGCTGATACCAGTTTGGCTCAGTGGTAGAGCGTCGGTCTGCAGACTGAAAGGTCTCAGGTTCGATTCCGGTCAAGGGCATGTACATTGGTTGTGGGCACATTTCCGGTAGGGGGTGTACAAGAAGCAGCTGGTCGATGTTTCTCTCTCATCGACGTTTCTAGCTCTCTATCTCTCTCCCTTCCTCTCTGTAAAATATCAATAAAATATATTTAAAAAAAAAAAAGTATGCACATCCGCCGGAACCAGTTTGGATCAGTGGACTGACGGTCAGCCTGCAGACTGAAGGGTCCCGGGTTCAATTACAGTCAATGGCATGTACCTTGGTTATGGGCACATCCCCAGTGCGGGGTGTGCAAGAGGCAGCTGATCGATGTTTCTGACTCTCTGTCCCTCTCTCTTCCTCTCTTTGAAAAATCAATAAAATATATTTAAAAAAATAAAAATAAATAAAAAGTATGCACATCATATGTATTCACAGGGAACACATTCGTGTAACTTGAATTCAAATAAAGAAACAAAATGTTAGCAGCACCTCAGAAAACCCTTTTTAATCCCTTCTAGTCACCAGCCTGAACACACCTTGACTCCTAACACCATAGATTAGCCTGTTTTGAAGTTTTATATAAATGAAATCATACAGCATAGACACTCTCATGTCAGGCTTCTTTTGCTCAACATGTTGTCAGTGAGATTCATCCATATGGTTGCATTTGGTTGTAGAGTGTTCACTCTCATTGCTGTATTAATATTCTGTAGTGTGATTTTTTTAAATATATATTTTATTGACTTTTTTTTTTACAGAGAAGAAGGGAAAGGGAATTAGAAACATCGATCAGCTGCCTCCTGCACACCCCCTACTGGGGATGTGCCTGAAACCAAGGTACATGTCCTTAGCGGGAATGGAACCTGGGACCCTTCAGTCCGCAGACCGACGCTCTATCCACTGAGCCAAACCGGTTAGGCTCTATAGAGAGAAATAGATGTGATTTTCACTTACAGGGAATTTGCCATCTAGTGGAAAGAGAGGTATGTGCACCACTCATGGTGAACGCTGAGTGGAATGAAATTAAAGTTGCACTTGAACAAGGGTTGTGATGGTTGAGATTTCCTGACATGGAGGAGCAGTCTGGGGGACAAATCCCTGAACTAAGACTAGGAGACAGCCCTGCCTGGGTAGCTCAGTTGGTTGGAGTGTTGTCCCATACACCAAAGCTTGCAGGTCAGATTCCTAATCAAGGCACATACCTACGTTGTGAGTTTAATTCCCATTCAGGGCTTGTATGGAAGGAAACCAATCCCTGTTTCTCTCTCCCTTCCTCTCTCTCTCAAATCAATTGAAAAAACAAAAACAAAAAACCATCCTCAGGTGAGAATTAAAAAAAAAGTCTTAGAGACAGGCAGGGTATGGTGTCAGGTGGGATCACTGAGACAAGAATTTTGTCCTGCACCTTCGGGACCCTGAATGAGACTCACCTGTAGTGATAAGCTGTAAACACCGAGCAGAGGGAGATAGAGGTCAAATGGGGAAGGAAGGAAGAGGGTGAGTGGGGTCAGCTCATACAAGCCTGTGCTGTCATCTGGGAAGAACACCCTGAACCAGCTGTGCCCACTGCCAGGCATGCCAGGGCCCTGGTACCACCAGCTGGTTTGACTTCTCCAGTTGCACTGTGGCCAGAACCATTTTTTAAAAATATATATTTTATTGATTTTTCTTACAGAGAGGAAAGGAGAGAGATAGAGAGCTAGAAACGTTGATGAGAGAGAAACATCGACCAGCTGCCTCCTGCACACCCCCTACCGGGGATGTGCCCGCAACCAATGTACATGCCCTCGACCGGAATTGAACCCGGGATCCCTCAGTCCGCAGACCGACGCTCCACCACTGAGCCAAACCGGTTTCGGCGGCCAGAACCATTTTTAAGAGGAGAGGCCCACAGCCTCCTGGGTGAAGGAGGCTGGACCTCAGAATCAGGCCCGGTTCTGCCCTTGCTCAGTTGGGGAGCAAGTGTATCCCTCTACGAGCCTGCTTCTTCACCTGTGAAATGGAAGCGATATTACTTACTGCAATGGGGTTAGAGATGATGGCTCAAAGTGTTGACATACAGTGCCTGGGCTGAGGAGTGCGCGCTTCCTTAAATGGCCCAACAGATGGTTGGGGAGGCTGGCCAAGGCAGATGAAGCTCACACTCAAAGCCCCAGCAGTGTTGGGGGTGGGGGTGTTATATATGTAATTTTAATTGAAGATGTAGTCATAAGAGACATCAGAATTTGTGAACTTCACTGCACGTATTGTACAGTTCAGTGTTTTTCCACCAGGAGGATTGTCTTTTCAGTTCTTAGGCCTCCAAAGGTGTTATCAGGCCGAGGAGGGCAGAAATGGGGTGCAGATGCCTGTTAGGGGCCAACTGGTGGCTTAGAAGGGGAGGAGCATGGGGTGAGGGACAGTCTCTTGAAAGGAAGGAGAATGCAACTGGGACATTTTCTCCTGGAGACGGGAAGCTCAGGGAGCATGGTGGAGTGAGCTGGGCTGTCGATAGCAGAGACTTAGAACCAGAGGTAGTGAACGTTGTAGGACCCTGAGAAGTCACTGAATTCAACTTCGCATTTTATAAGTGGAGACATGGAGCCATAGGTGGATGGAAGAGCTTGTCTTTGAGCAGCGTTGAGTAAGGCAGAGATTTGCCCCCAGGTTCATTCATAACATTATGGGTGGAGTAAGGATCATTTCAGGTCTCTGCTTAAGCCAGAGCCCCTGAAGCTAGAAGATTCCAAGGGGCCCTGCTTCCTACCCCTGACTTCCCACAGTGGCCACCAGCTCCTCTTAGCATCAGGGCCTGCTCCAAGCATTCCCCAAGTCCCTGGGTACCCCGTGTGGGGGTTCAGAGACCCTGGGACACAGTCCTGCCTCCTGGCCCTCTGGTCAGGGAAGGAGCCAGAGAGGCACATAAAGCATAAGGAATGACCCTGTGGGACTCTGTGCCAAGGATCCCAAAAGGGCCTCTGAGGGATGGCTCTCCCCCCAGAGGAGGCAGGCTGAGGTTGGTACCCGAGGCCTCCAGAATTTGATAGGGTTGTGCAGGGAGAAGGCACCTCCCACAGGGAACTGCAGGGAACCAGCAGAGGAGAGCAGCTGGGGCTCCTGGGAACATGAGGTGACTGTTTGGCAGGGACAGGGACAGAGGGTACCCAGCCAAGGGACTTAGGTGGGTGGAAGGGCTGTGAGCAGCTTTCAGTAACAATTTCAGCCAGGCCAGGGGCACTGTCATTTGATCGTGGGAGCTTTGGGACCCTGCCATGGAAGAAGCCACCTTATTTATGTAACCACATGTAACCCATGTATTTGTAAAAAACCAAAGCGGGTTAGCATTTGTCTCCAGCCTACCCCTGCTCCCCACCAGGGATCGCCCTGGGTGGGAAGTCTGGAATTCTTTGAGACCAGGCTGTGTTGCTATTCCTATGCAAGTACTTGGGGGGTTTTCCACTCCTATGGAGTCTGATGCCCTAAGAAAGTGGGGCAAGAACCCCACCTCAGAGGATTGTTAAAGGTGCCAGAGGTGACAGGTGTGAATGCCAGAGGCCAAACATCCTGGTTTACATCCTCAGGGTGAGAGAGCAATTTCAGAAACAGGAACATAAGCTGGACCTCAAGGTGGGTGGGAGGAGATGGCCTGCCTGGGGGATATCCAGGGGAGGGTGACGAGGATTCACATACCCTCTGGGGCTCTGTGCTGGTGCAGTGATGACCAAAATGTCAGCTGGAGGGCCTGAGACCTCCCAGTGGAACGACCAGGTCACACAAGCCTTCTGAGCGGTGGGTGCGTCCAGCTGTGTGGATGGCGGAGAGGGGGTGACTGTGAGCTGGGAGATCAGAGGTCAGGGGGGGTTGTCGTTAGGTGAGGGGCTGCATGGGAAGCCGTCCCTAGAAGCTGGAACCCCAGGCGCTGAGGGTGCTTTCAGGATCAGGAGTGTATGACTGGAAACCCACTTTGGGTGAAGCAGGGGCGCTTCTGCCAAGGCTCTGCATGGTCACTGCAGAAGGAAAGACGTTTGGGAAGACAGGGACCTCCTCCTGCTCCAACCTGTAGCCTCAGGAGCACCTACGTGATGTTTTATATTAATGTAAGCCCCGCCCGGAGCCCTGCGGCCCCGCCCCGCGGAGCCACCTACGGAGTCCCGGGGGCCGGGCGATGCTAATGAGGGCTGCCCGGCCTCGCAGCCTCCCGGGCGGCTGCCGCGGGCCCGGGCCGGGGAGCGCCGCCATGGCCACGGCCGGGGCGCTGGCGGGCCTGGCCGCGGGGCTGCAGGGCCCCCGGACGGTGCCCGGCGCGGACTCGGACTCAGACACGGACTCGGAGGACCCGGGCGCCCGCCGCGGCGCGGGCGGGCTGCTCCGCTCGCAGGTCATCCACAGCGGCCACTTCATGGTGTCGTCGCCGCACAGCGACTCGCTGCCCCGGCGGCGGGCCCGGGAGGGGCCCGTGGCGCTCACCGACTTCGGGCCGCGCAGCATCGACCCCACACTCACCCGCCTCTTCGAGTGCATGAGCCTGGCCTACAGGTGAGGGCGGCGCCGGGACCCGACGGCCCCGGCCCTCCAGACGGGACCGCGCGCCGAGGCCCCGGACCCCCGGCCCGGTCCCGCGCCCTGGTCCCCGACTGCCCTGCCCTCGGAGACTCCGGCCACCTCCTGGACACCCTCTCCCCGCGCCCGCCCGCGAGCGTCCTCGGACCCTGGCACAGCCTGCTGATCCCAATCGGGCCTGCGTGCCTGCCGGTTCCCAGGTTCCCATCCTCGGCACCAGCGCTCTGCCCAGGGCGCAGACCTCCACCGTGGCCCCCTCCCCATGCCCGCTCCTCTCTCCATCCCCATCCCCAAAGAGACGCCAGACACTCCCTCGCGCTCCTGGGGTCCTAGGCCATCCTGCCACTCCCACCCTCCACCTGGGGGCCCCTCCACGCGACCACCTGCAGCCCCGGCCCACACCCACTCTATTCCTGCGACCTCGCCGTGCGCCTGGCGTCCGAGGATGTCCCAATCCATACCCAATTGTCGATCGAAACCCAGTCTCTCATCCTGCACAGCCCCCACCCCAATTGCTGGGGCACCTGTTTTTGATCTGCCGGGTAGAGGGTGGCTGGAGGGGGTGCCCCGGGCTGGAGAGGGTGGCTGGAGGGGGTGCCCCAGGCTGGAGAGGGTGGCTGGAGATGGTGCCCCAGGCTGGAGAGGGTGGCTGGAGAGGGTGCCCACGGAGAGGGTGCCCACGCGTGGGCGCTGCTCGCAAAATGCCCCGCTGTCGCCTCCGGGCAGGGGTGCCGCGAGCCGGAGGGGCTGGTTCCGAGAGGCCTGGGCTCGCCTTCCCGGTCTCTTGGAGGCAGAGCGCCTAATCCTGCCAGATCAGAGCGCGCCGGCCGCCCGGCTCCAGCGCCATGCCCGCGTCCCAGGGGAGGGCGCGAACCCCGGTCCTGGCCCGGTGCCCCGGAGCAAAGTTCCCGGGAGCCGAGAGGCCAGGATAAATTATCAACCGAAAACCGTACGGGATGAAGGAGGGGCGGGGCGGCCGGCTTTGATCTTTTCTCTGCAAAGATTCCGCTTCCTCCGAGACACTCCTCCCCTTCAGAGAACGGTTGTCTACCCATCGGCACTGGCTGCTCCGACCCGGAGCCGAAGCCAGAGCCCGAGCTGGGGTGGGAATTGCGGGGGAGTGTTGCCCACCCCCAACAGCTGCCCCGCAGCCGCGACCCCATTGGCTGGAGGCGTTGTAACCTTGGCCCTCAAGCTCTGGCCCCGGGCCCGGGTCATGTTGCAACCTGACCGTCTCAGGCGCCAGACCAATGTGGAAAGTTCAAATTCCCATCCCTCCCCCCACCCCTCCTACCCCCACCCTCGTATCACACCCCGCCTGGGCAGGCCATCTAAGGTCCTAGTACACCAGGTGCCGGCACCCCTCCTCCCTCAGGGCCCCCCCACTTCTCACCCATTCTTAACTTCAGCTTCCCGGGTTATATTACACACACCTCTCTCTCTGTCTGGGCTGGCTAACACCCACCCCTAACCCCAGACCATGGGTGACCAAAAGGGGGAAGTTCGGAGGAGGTGGCAAGGTAGGAGGCAGAGCACATTCCAAGAACTGCCCCCACTGAGAGGCTGACTGGAAGCTGGTGTGACTCCAGTCAGGGGCAGCTGGGATGGAGAGAGAGAGCTGTGCTTTCTCCCTAAACAACCAGGAGACTCTCTCTCTCAGGCTGCCCTAGTTGGCCTTATGCTCCAGGGATGGAAGCAGAGCCTTTGGGTTCCCCCATTTGGTAGAGAGAAAAAAAAACACACACACACACACTGAGGCTCAGCTTGGGATTGTTTTAGTCCTTTAGATCCCTCAATATTGGGGCTCCCTGGAGGGAGAGAATTGGGGAAGCAATCTCTAGGCCCTAGAGTCTATGGTGTCCCAAGAGAGTGGGCGGATGGGAAGGGACAGCGAGGCAATGGGTAAGGTTTGTCTGGCCAGGAGAGGAAGCCTCTCCACCAGAGGTAGCCTCCAAGGTGTTGCGAGGGACTGGTGTTGCGAGGGACTGGCCAGCTGGGCCCGGAGGAGAGCCTGTGGGAGCCTGGCCAGCTTTCACCTCAGATGGGCAGGTGGGCAGAGAAAGGACTTTTCTAGGAGGAGCTCCATGTTCCATGGTTCTTTGGGTGGAAACCCAGGGAGGCAAGTTCTGGGAATCCCAAGCATACACTTTGGCCATGGTCAGAGCCATGGAAAGAATGGCCTCAGGGAAATGGAGGAGCAAGCAGGACCCTGTCTGGGAGACCCTGTGTGGGAATATGGGGAACTGAACTAGGAGTTCTGTTCCCCATCCCATCCCTAAGAATTCCAGATTTTCTCCTGGTCTTAATAAGTCCTTGAACCCTGGCTTCAGGCTTTTTGCTTCAGGTTGCCCCCCACCACCACCCCCTACCCCAGAGCCAACAAGTCCATCACAGACTTTCCTCCTGGGCTTAGATGCTGTCACTGAATCCTCTCCTCTAGCCTTACCTGGCCACAACACTATACCCTAGCAGTGTTCCCCAAAGTGTGGTACGCGTACCCCCAGGGGTACGGGAAGAGTTTGGTGGGGGTACACGTTGCACTGGAGTTTGGTGGGGATATGCACTGCATCTTGCTTAGCTGCGCCTAATTCTACGTTCTCATGAGAACGCAGGGTACTCAGTGTTACGAAAATTATAGAAGGGGTACACATATGTCAAAAGTTTGGGAAACACTGAAGGAAAGGCAGGCAGGCTGGAGGTGGGCACTGGGTGACGAGAGTGGGCCTGTGGGAGGTTGCTGGGATACAGGCAGGGTCAATAAGCTTAGAAGGCCCCCCACAACCCTCCAGGTGCCACAAAAGAAGCTGGCCCAAGATGTGTCTGAGTGCTCTCCCATTTCTCCAGACAGATGGTGTTTATCTAACTTAGGAGGGCGGGGGCCAGCCGGCGGGCCTGTGCTCCTGGGTTATGTACTCTCTTTGGGTAATGAGGCCTGATGTGCCCTAGGGTGGCAGTTCACCCCTCTCCCTATTCCAAAGTAAACACAGGAGCCTGGAGACCAGAGAGGAGAGGAGAGCCAGTGACCTGTGCACCTAAGGGGCTGCAGGAGTCAGACTGCCACCCACCTGTCCCTTACCCCCTGGATTAGAGCGAGGCCCCTCGACAGAGCAGGCCTGGTGTTCTGAAAGAATAAGCCTTGAGGCCTCAGCCTTCTATGTGGGAAAGGGTTGGATAAGGTGGGCCAGAAGGGACTGGTATACAACCCTGTCTTGTGGACTGCGAGGAGGCAGGGGACGAGCAGGGGTCTAAGACCCTGAACATCTTGACCTCCTAGGTCAGCTCCCTGGAGGTGGCAAACTTGGCGTGTGCCCAGAGGATCCTGAGAGGCAAGCTCCTTGTCTGTGTTGAGCCTTTTCACCTCATGAATTTAATTGGCTGCTAGGGTTAGGTTTAGGGTCAGGATGCTGCCTCCTCGTTGCTCACCATTCCATCATCCTAGCTGCCTTCCTTTGGATCGGATTGGTATTGTCTTGGGCACACCCCTGAGAAGGGGCATACCTTCCAGCTCAGTCCAGATTGCCATTCTAGGATTTGGGGCTGGGCAGATACCAGAAGGGCAATGAAAAGGCAGTGGCTGGCTGCTTGGAGGCTACCTCTGGTGGAGAGGCTTCCTCTCCTGGCCAGACAAACCTTACCCATCCCCTTGACCTAGGGATCCAGCAAGACTGGTGAAAGAAAGAAAGAAAGAAAGAAAGAAAGAAAGAAAGAAAGAAAGAAAGAAAGAAAGAAAGAAAGAAAAAGAAAGAACAAACAAACAAAAAACACCACAGGGTCTGGGTGAGTCTCTGCCATATACTTGGGCATGTCCCTCTACCTTCCTGATCCTCAGTTCCCTTCAGTAACAACTGTATCTAGCTGGCCTACAAGACAGTTGCTTGTAAGGCCACTGGATAGTGTTATGAAGATTAAGCTGATAAACAGGTTCCAGTCCTGGCTCTAGTTCTGGTAGCAGATTAACAAGCAGATCTCATAAAGAACACGAGGTCCCCTACTGGGGAGCTGGGAGGGTATTTTATTACTTTTTTTGATAATCTTCACCTGAAGATATGTTTTCATTGATTTTTAGAGTGGAAAGGAGAGGGAGAAACAGAGAAACGTTGATGTGAAAGAGACTCATCAATCGGTTGCCTCCCTCACACACCCCAGGGTCGGTAGCACCCTGACCCCAAACCTAACCCTAGCGGCCAATTAAATTCATGAGATGAAAAGGTTCAACACAGATGAGGAGCTTGCCTCTCAGGGTCCTCTGGGCACAGGCCAAGTTTGCCACCTCCAGGGAGCTGTCCTGAGTGCTCTCCATTGAACCTGGAACCAGCATTGAATCTGGAGCCCTTCAGTCCGTGGGCCTATGCTCTATCCTTTGATCCAAACCGGCTAGGGCTGAGAGGGTATTTTAAAGCCTGACTTTCAAGGTAGGAATTTCAGGCAGGTTACAGTGAGGGGCAGGATGTGAGTGGGTCTCTCAAATTGCCCTCCGTAGATGAGTGCCTAGTGCTTGTGTACAGCCAACCTCTGCAGAAGCCCCTTCCCCCACCCTCAGCCCTAACCCAGCCCTCTTCCTCTGACAGTGGTAAGCTGGTGTCTCCCAAGTGGAAGAATTTCAAAGGTCTCAAGCTGCTCTGCCGAGACAAGATCCGCCTCAACAACGCCATCTGGAGAGCCTGGTATATCCAGTGTGAGTGGGTACCATGGGCCACCCCAGCCCAAGAGCTGTGGTAGGGTGTGGGGGTGGGAAATGGCTACCCAGGAATCCCAGCTTGCACCAACAGAGTGTTTTGGAGAGTATCGGCACAAGCACCCCTGAACAGCTTCTGACCCCCAGAGAGTCTTGGTGAGTGACCCTGGCACTCTCTAAGAGTGCTCTCCACTGTAGTGTTGGGCACAACAGAAGTCACCCCTGGGAAGTCCTAAGTTGACCTGAGATTTGGGAAACCGTTCAAGACTCATTCTGCAGTAGTGTAGCCAGGTGCTTCCAATGCCAGGTTAGAAAGAAGTGTTAGACACTGTCTGGGCCAATTCCATCACTTTGCAAAGCCTCCTGCATGGCTCTCTTCCAGCCTTTCACTAAAGTCCTTACTGAACTCTCACCAAGTGACCCCATGGAAATTTGGGGAGATGGGGCCCAGAGAGGCCACGTGGTAGAGTGGAAGAACTCCAGAGTTACTCAGAGCTGGTTTCCCACCCTGTTCCTGTCACTTGCTGGCTGTGTGACTGCAGGCAAGTTGTCTAGGCTCTCTGAACCTATTTCCTCATTTATAAAATGAGGCCAATAGCCCTACTTTTCATGGCTGGTGTGGGGATAACGGGTATGAACAAGCCTGGCACAAAGTGCTCAGTAAATGATGGATGGTGGAAACTGAGGTCCCCTTGAGATCATAGTCATTCATTTAGGGATACCAGACCTCTTCTCCTTCCCCCTGGCAGGACAGCAGAGGCTGAGAGCTATCAGACTAGTTGGCCCCATGCCGGGACCTTGTCTAGCTTAGGTAGGTCCTGCTGCAGGACCAAAGGCTGTGCTGAGCTGGGAACACATAGCCCAGGAGGAACCAGTATTCTCTGTACTGGCCCCACGAGATCCCACCTAAATAGAGAGAGTGTGTGTTTTGGGCTATTATTCATCTGTGTGCCCAGTACTTTCCTAAATCATCTTAATTGAGGCTTCCTAGCATCCCTGAGAGATGGGTATTATTACCCCCATTTTATACATGAGCACATGAGGCCCAAAATGCAAGTGCCTTGATCTGGCCAAGGAGCATAAAAGTAGCAGAGCTGGGAAGTCCAGAGCTCTCCAACTCCGAGCCCAGTGCTCCTTTTATTGAATCCTGCTGGCTGGTTTTCAGACCTCACCTGAGAATGGGTCTGACCAAACCAGGGCGCTGTAGGCCAGGGCAGTGGTCGGCAAACTGCGGCTCACGAGCCACATTCGGCTCTTTGTACCCTTGAGTGTGGCTCGTCCGCAAAATACCACGTGCGGGTGCGCACCTACAGTGTGATTGAAACTTTGTGGCCCATGCACAGGAATCGGTTTTCGGCTCTCAAAAGAAATTTCCATCGTTGTACTGTTGGTATTTGGCTCTGTTGACTAATATGTTTGCTGACCATTGGACCAGGGGAATCAGTATCCCTGTCTCTCCCTTTCTACAAAGCTGGATGGGGTGCAAACCCAGGTTCCTCACCCAGACAGACTGTGGTCTCCAGCTGTTGTACAAGTTGTTAGAAGGATCCCAAGTTCTGAGTCATGCGAAGGTGGGTTTGAGTCAAGTTCTAGTATGCCCCGCTATGTGAACTTTGTAAAGTCCCCAGCCTCCCCTAGCCGAAGCTTGCTCATCTATAAGGCAGGCATGATAATAGGTCTTCCTGCTGAGGTCTGCTGTGAGTTTTCAGTGTGATCACATCTCAGCACCAGGCGGTCACACACACAGGCTCCCTGAGAGCAAACCCTGGGTCTATCTCTATTGCTGTGATAACAGCAAGAGCATAGACAGGCAGAGAATAAATGTCAGGGCTCCCCCTCCTCCCTGAGCACCAAAGATTTGGGGGTGAGCTTCTAGGGGGGGAATGACTGCTGGAGGGCTGCCCGGCTCATCCCCCAGGCACCTGCCACACCTCTCTGCAGGCTCCTGGCCTCCAGAACCCCTTTCTTTCCCCAGACTCATCTCAGTTCCCTCTGAACTCCCAGAGCACTGTGCCCCTGTCATGGGCAGAATCTCCACCTGGCATCAGCTCATGTTATATGTGTGCTTTCCTCCTCTCGACCACCAAGCTGTGAGCTCCCTGAGTCAGCCCTGGATTCAGACCCAGCTGTTTTCCCAGCAGCATAGGTGCAGGGGCTAGGCTGCAGCATGAATGGATGAGTTTCTCATTGTTAAATAAAGCCTGCCCCACCTCCAGGTCACTGCCCTTTTGTCCAGAGCACAGTGTCCCTGGGTGGGGGAGGAGAGAGTAGGCTGGGCCTGCTCAGCCCTGACTCTCTGGGAGCCGTGGGCAAACTTACTCTTTTCTCCTGCTCATTTCCTCATCTGGAAAGCTAGGACAGGTGCTTTTTGAGACCCTTATGCCCCCGGAGTCCACATACCTAAGGGCTTTCCCTTTGTTTTCTGTCCAAGCTGGCTCAGCAATCCTCCTCAATCTCATAGGGATCTCATTTTAGAGAATGTCCTTTGAGTCAGAACTTTGTTGACGGTCCCAAGAAATGTCATGTTCAGGTGCTCCCCTCCTCTGTGTCAGTAGTCCCAGAGGAACTTCACTCAGGGCTTTGGCGGGATGGGCCCCCACAGACACCCCTGAAGTCCTTTGTGTCAAGAATATCAGAAAAAGTCACTGCTCAGGGTTTTGAAGTTCTTCTGTGTGCCAACCTCTGTGTCAGATGCAGGGATTCTGGGCTAAAGGGCACAGCTCCTGCCTGCACTCCCAGCGGGGAGGCCGGCATTCAGAGAAATGGCCGAGGCAGGTGAAGATGGAGGCGAGGTTTTCTGGAAGGGGAGCTGCTCTGGGCAATCGAGGGAGGGGCTTTCCATGTAGAATAAAAACAGAGGTTAGCCGAAGCCAGTTTCGTCGGTCTGCTGACTGAAAGGTCCTGGGTTCGATTCCGGTCAAGGGCATGTACCTTGGTTGCGGGCACATCACCAGTAGGGGGTGTGCAGGAGGCAGCTGGTCGATGTTTCTCTCTCATGGATGTTTCTAGCTCTCTATCCCTTTCTCTTCCTCTCTCCTCTGTAAAAAATCAATAAAATATATTTAAAAAAACAAAACAAAACAAACAAAAACAGAGGGTAGTCTGGTGAGGGGAGCAGGGAGGAGCTGCCTGGCTTCCAGGTGAGGCATTAAGGAGACAGAAAGGCCAGAAAAGCAGTGGAGCTAGACATGGAGGGTTTGGAAGCCACTCAGGGGTGTGGACTTCACCATGGAGGTTTAGGGAGCCCTGGAGAGGTCCAGGCTGAACCGCACTGTAGGAAGAATTGACCTGGCCGCAGCAGGAAGTGGGCTAGAGAGTGTGAGACTGGAGTCAGAGAGGTCTGGATGAGAAATGACAACAGACCAGCTGGTTACCATGAGAGTGTGGGGAGAGGGGAAGGGACACTGGAAGAAATGTCACACATCCTCAGGATTGAGACGGTTAGTCCATGGATTAAACAGGAACTGGGAGTCAGTGCTGGCAGTCCAGAGGGGCACGGGCTGGAGAGGGAATGTCCCAGACATCTGAGAGTGACACGTTTTGGGACATCCTAGTGTAGGGTCCCTAGCAACTGGGGAATGGGTCTGAAGCTGGAAAGGGGCAGGATGAGCGTGGTTGGGAGGTGGCCTTGGGGGCAGATGCTGAGAACAGAGGTGACGATGAGACTGGGAGGTACAGAAGTGGAGGTGGCAAGTGACATGCTTGTTCTAGAGTTTGAAGAGAAAGCAAAGGAGTGAAGGGGGAAGCAAAGGGGTTAGCTTGTTGGGTAGCATATGGAAGGAAAAGTGTGGGAGGTAAAGGAGAACCTGGAATGTGTTTAGAGGCAAAAGGAAAAGGAGAGAGATCAGCATTGGAGACCGAAAGGGAGTGGAGGAGGTGAAAAGGGGGCTTGGGCAGGTGGCCTGGAGTGGACACGGGGTGGTTCTCTGAGATCACATTGGGCTGTGCCAAGGAGCCTGAGGCAAGGGCCAAGGGCTCGGGGCCCTTGGCCTGCCAATCTGACCGGGATGTTCTAGAGGCAGCTCACTCGCTCCCTGTGGCCCCAATCCCATTCAGCAAGCATTGCTTTCCCACCTCCTGGGTTGGGTTGGTTTCAGAGGGTTGCACAGAGGGAGAGAAGGTCCTGCTAGAGAAGAAGGCAAGAAGGCTTCCTAGAGGAGGTGACACTTGATCGGAACATCCAAGGCCAGGCAGCATTTTTAAGGGTGCACCTCAGTCCCAGTCTTCTGGGGAGGGTGAAAGCTAAGGGAGCTGAGCATCCCTGACCAGGCCCCCTTCTTTAGATGTGGAGAGGAGGAAGAGCCCCGTTTGTGGCTTTGTGACCCCCCTGCAGGGGCCTGAGGCTGATGCGCATCGGAAACCGGAGGTAGGTGAGACTAAGGGGGAACCACCGCCCACCGGCCTCCTCCCCAAACCCAGCTCCTCCCTCGGACCCCCGCTGCACTGGGCGGGAGGGGCCAACAGAAGGGGATTGGGTGAGGGGTGAGATCAGTGTTGCCCCTCGCTCTGAGCCCCCTCCCGGTCTTCCCCAGGCTGTGGTCCTGGAAGGAAACTACTGGAAGCGGCGCATCGAGGTGGTGATGCGAGAGTACCACAAGTGGCGCATCTACTACAAGAAACGGGTCAGTGGGGGGCCCCGGGGGAAGGCCGGTGCTGGCCTCTGCTGCTCTTGGAAGAGCCCACGGAGGAGCCCCCGCCCTCCGCTAAGACCCAGCCTGACAGCGCCACCGTGTGGCCATAGGATCTTCTCGCAGCCTCCTTACTTCCCAGGGAGGAGGAGCTCCTGAAGGGAAGTGGGGGTCCCTTTGATTTGGTGGCGCTTCTGAGTAGAGGAGGCCTTGGCTGGGAGTGATGGAGGAGGGGCAAGGAATCCAGGGTCCGCGTCTGTGTGTTCCTGCAGCTCCGTAAGTCCAGCAGAGAAGGGGACCTCCTGGCCCCAAAACAGGTGGGTGTTCCCTGGACCCAGAGAATTGACAGCGTCCCTCTGGGTGGGCAGGGCAGTGGTGAAGCGGGGAGGTGTGAGGGTGGAACATGAGGGAAGACCCTAAACATTAAGGCATGGCCTCTGTCCTCTGGCTGGTTAATTGAGCCCTCCTTGCCTGGCAGCAGTGGTGGGAAGACCCTGAGGCTCTGGTTGACTGAGCAAGTGGCTCTGGGGAGGCACGGGGGAATACAGGGTCCTAAAAACTACCCTACGATCCCCGGCAGGAACAAGTATAGGAGGCAGGAGGTGGTACCCATATCTCCCCATCTAGCTCCTATGGGCAGTTGTTAGAGGCCAAGGGGGTGACCCTAGTCTTCCAGGCAGTCAACTGGGCCCACCAGGGAGAGGTGAGGACTGTGCAGAGAGAGGCCGTCTGGCTGGCTGACATCCCCCCAGGCAGGGGGCAATATGGAAGGGCCGGGGGAAGTGGGAGACCCCTCTGCCCCCAGTCTAGGGAGGAGGAGGAGCCATGGAGCCCTCAGGCTGCTACCGCTGGCTCTGTCTCCCCAGGTGGAGGGGGGATGGCCGCCACCAGAGCGATGGTGCGAGCAGCTCTTCTCCAGTGTGGTGCCCGTGCTGCTGGGGGGCCCGGAGGACGACCCCGGTGGGCGGCAGCTGCTGGACCTCGATTGCTTTTTGTCCGACATCTCGGACACACTCTTCACCATGACCCAGCCCAGCCCCACGCCCCTGCAGCTGCCCCCTGAGGACGGTGAGGGCCTGTCCCCAAGAGAGGAGGCCTGTGAGAATCCAGGCAGCAGAGGGAGGGTGGCCGGGGACAGCTGTCCCCACTCCACCCTGCCTGCTGCTCCTGACATCGCCGCTGCCCCCTGCAGCCTACGTGGGCAATGCTGACATGATCCAGCCGGAACTGACGCCTCTGCAGCCCAGCCTGGATGACTTCATGGAGACCTCAGGTGGGGCACGCCCCTCCCCTGGGGTGGGAGGGCAGGGTCAGTGCAGTAGAGCCCCGGGTTGACCTCAGGCTGGTTCTATGCCCTTCCGGGAGGGCAGACGGTCTGAGTGACTTCTGAAAGATTTTCCTGGTGTCCCTTTGTCTGGCCTTGGGGCGAAGCTGGTGTGGTTTAGGTGAGAGCAGGGCCAGACCTCGGTGGGGATCAGGGGACCAGGGTCATTGAAGCTTCAGCCTCTGGGAGCTGCCAGGAAAGCGGTGGATGCTGGGACTCTCTCAGGGGAGAGGAGGGACTGTATCTGTTTGAATCTATTTATTTACATAATTCGTTAAGAAAAGCAAAACTATTTATTAAAGAACATTTCAAACACACAAACAGAGAGTTCGATAAACTCTCATGCAACGATCACTGATTTCAACATTTATCAGCTCTTGGTCAGTCTTATTTTATCTAGACCTCACCCACTTCTCTCCTTCCATGTTATTTTGAAGGAAATTTCAGGGATTATATCTGGCAAAGCATTTTTTAAAAAATATGTTTTATTGATTTTGTACAGAGAGGAAGAGAGAGAGATAGAGAGTTAGAAACATCGATGAAAGAGTGTCATTGATCAGCTGCCTCTTGCACACCCCCCACTGGGGATATGCCCGCAACCAAGGTACATGCCCTTGACCGGAATCGAACCCGGGACCCTTCAGTCCCCAAGCCGACGCTCTATCCATTGAGCCAAATCGGTCTTGGCTGGTAAAGTATTTTTTTTTTAAGTTGTATGTTTCCCTGTCCCCCCACCTCCAAACCCCAGGGCCATCAGGTCACAAAAGTATGTCCTTCCAGAGATGCTCATGTCTCTATAAAATAAGCACCCACAATAGATTCTTCCTCACATTGCTTTTCTTCACTTAGCTATGGATCCTAGAGACCACCCCCGAGATTCAGACATTGAGGGGCCTTCATAGCCAGTTAGTGGTCAGGTAGACATCGGGTCTCAGCCAAGGCCTAGGGGGCAGAAAGGGCACTCCTGGGATAAAGGCTTAGCTTCGGTGTCCCCCTTCTCTCCTTCCCCATGGGGTCCCCGGCCTATCAGTCAAGAGGTGGAGGCCTATGGGGCGGGGACTAGGGAATGAGGAACCACTCCCACCCCTGCCTCAGCTCTGGACAGAGGTGGGGGCAGAAGTGTTGATGGCAGTGCCCTGGGAGCAGACCAGCCGGGGAGGGCAGCCGCCCTGTCTGGGCACACAGACCCCTGCCACAGGTAGGAGCTCAACTGCCCCCACCCTGGGATCTGGGCAAAACCTGGGGCCAGGAAATGACTTCTCTCAGCCTAGGGTGGCTACCGGGGTGGGGATGGGGAGCAAGTATGGGTGGCCTATGGTAAGGGATGTCACGCAGAAGAGGTGGCTGTGTGGCCCCCTCCGGCGCTCTGTGCGCTTGGAAGGCAAGGAGCACTGGGGCTACCTTGGCTGCAAAGAGCACTGGGGCTACCATGGCTGCCGCTGTGATTGTCCCCAGAGCTCCTCCCTTGAGGGGGCTGGTGAGGGGCGGGTCCAGTGAGGGGAAGGGGCTTGGAGAGGGGTGCTCAGGGAAGAAAAGGGAGCTTGGATGAGAGAAGGGCTCAGAGAGAGGACGGTGGGTCAGTGGAGGGAACCGAGGCTAGGGAGGGACCTAGTGGGTGGCTAGGGCTAGCAAGCAGCTTCTCTCGAGGCTGGGTGGGGACATGCCCACAATCTCAGATAAGGGGGTGGTGGTGACTCAGTGATGAGTTGGGCTCGCAGCTCCATGAGGCCTGCCGAGCCCTGTGGAGACAGCGACAGCATGGTGCAGGGGCTGCTCCATAGCCCTTAGCATCCCGGGGCCAGGCCCAGGTCCAGGCTGGCTCTAGAGCCCAGGCTTCAAGGGGTGAAGTGAGGAGACCTACCTATAGGCCATAGGGGAATGGAGAACCAGGGATTGCTCACCCTTTGCCACCTAGTCCTTCATTGAAAGGAGGCAGCAGTTCAATAAGAATACCTCTTATGGCCGAAACCGGTTTGGCTCAGTGGATAGAGCATCGGTCTGCGGACTGAAAGGTCTCAGGTTCAGTTCCAGTCAAGGGCATGTACCTTGGTTGTGGGCACATCCCCAGTAGGGGGTGTGTAGGAAGCAGCTGGTTGATGTTTCTCTCTCATTGATGTTTCTAACTTTCTTTCCCTCTCCCTTCCTCTCTGTAAAAAATCAATAAAATACATTAAAAAAAATACCTCTTATGACTGTGGGACCAAGAAAACACACACACACACACACACACACACACACACACACACACACACACACACAGAGACATGGGCACAGGGCAGATATGCACACACCAAGCACCTCACATTAGGGCAGGTACACACAGACTTACAGCTACAGACAGTGGGACAGACAGGGAGGGAGACAGATGCTGCCTGAGACCGTGCACTGATTTGTGGAGCCAGCTGCTCTATCACATGTGAGTCCCAGAGTCAACAGAGATGTGTACACACAGGTTTGATGCCCATCAGGCTCAAGGTTCGGTGTGGTCTTCTCCGTCTCAGTCCTGGGTCCCCTCTGAGGGGGCCTTCTGGGCAGAGGCCTCACTGGCTCCCTTGGCCGGGAGGCTGGGGCCTGCCAAGGCCAGGGGGGTCGGGTCTGACCAGACAGGGAGGCCTTGGGAGCTGGTGCAGACTGAAAGCGGACCAGGGTCAGAGAAAGGTGCCCGGAAGGGAGCGGGTGGGCAGGCGGCACCCATGCCCGGGATGTGGTTAGGCCACAGGCAGCTGCTTCCCAAAACCAGAATAGCCCGGGGCTTACACAATCTGCACCTCAAACAATCTGACTGCCCCCGACCCCCAGTTCTTCCTGGCTTTCCAGAACCCCTCACTGCAGCCCCCTCTCTGAGCCCATCCTCTGACCCCTGCTATCACCCCCCTTAGCTCCTTCACCCCACTCCTGGATTCTACTATCGAGGTCCCATTTGTTGACTTTCCAGCAGACTTTGTCCTAGACACACTGACCTCCTGACCCTTCTTACCCCTAATTCACCTCTTGAACTTGAGTCACTCTGGGGCTCCTCCCTTGGACCTCGCCCCTTCCCCTCCCTGACATACTCTGTTACCCTCCCCCACATCAAGTTCCCCAGCTGGGCTGGTAGCAGGAGCAGACAGAGGGAGGCCCAGCCCTGGGGACGGGAAAGGGTGGCCTCATGAGCCAAGTGTGGTGCTTTTGGCACAGGGCAGACACAGTCCCCTGCTGTCTCCCACTCGGGCCCATCCCACCCGGGCCCATGTTGCTGCTTCCCCTGAGTGAGATAGAAACTCTTACGGTTTCACAATCTCCTGTGGAAGCGCCCCCCTCCCTCCTGTCCCAGCCCGGCCTGGGGACAGGGCACGAGGCCTGCTCTCCTCCCACAGCTTCCAGCTGCCATGGCCTTAGCCCTAACTGCTGCCACCCTCTGTGTCTGAATTACAGATTTCTTCACCAACTACCGCCCCCCTCAGACTGCCACGCCTTCAAACTTCCTGCAGCCCCCCAGCTTCGGTCCCATGGCTGACTCCCTTTTCAGCAGTGGGATCCTGGGCTCAGAGGTGCCCCCCGCCTCCTCGGGCATGACCCTCCTCTCAGGGCATAACCACCAGCAGGTGAGTTCAACCCACCCCACCCAGCCCTGCCTAGCTCACCTGCCCATGTCCAGGAGGTATTCTGGGTACTTTCTGAGGGCCCAATCCTGTGCTTGTTTGGTCCACTGGGTGGTACTGGAGGGAGAACGATCCTGGGAGGGTGCCGTTCAGCGGGAGAGGAAAGCTCCTCATGAAGCAGAACTGACCAGACGGCTATGGGGAGTCAGGCTGAGGGCAGGAGGGGCATGGAGCAGGCACCCCCAAGGGCTGCGTTGCTGTGGAAGGCTCTCAGGAGGGCAGGGAGTTCAGTACAGTTGGGGTTTGGACAGAAGAGACCAGTAGAGGGCAAGTCAGATGGGAGGAGAAGCTCAATCGAGGGCCTGGAGGCGGAAAACTGAGCAAGTGTGTCTAGGAAACAGTGACTACCATTTTGGCTCAAGAACTCCCAGACCCAATTCAGACATTGTCTCCCTGCTGCTTGGTTAGATGCCTTTCCCTCCGTCATCAGACTTTTCAGGCACTGATGTAGTTATTCGTGAGGGGTCTCTCTCCTGGAATAGACAGTGAGCTCCTTGCTGGAAGAGCTATGTTGTGCTCACCACTGCATCTTCCATACCTACCACTGTTCAAACAGCTCTAGGTAAATGATTGCCCAATGATGGAGCAAGTGAGTGAGTGAATGTGTATATGTATGGATGGGTCTGTTGGTGAATGGATAGATGGGTTGCAGATGTGGCTAGACACTTACATGAGTTGGTGTATATATAGGTAGGTGAGTGGTTGGTTGGATGGATGGAGGAATTCATAGATGAAAGAATAGTTTGGTGGATCAATGAATGAGCTAGTGGGTGGATACGTGGCTAGTCAATGTATGATGGATGAATGAAGGAAGCATAGATGGTTGGATGGATTGGTGAATAGGTTAGTACCTGGTGGGCTGGTAAAAAGATGAACTCAGAGCTTAGAGATGAGAGAATAAATAGATAGGGGGATGGATGGATGGAAGAATGGATGCATAAATTAGTTGGTGAATGAATGAAAGGTCAGGAAGACTGATGCTCTTTCTCATGCCTCATTTATGTATAAATGTGTTCCACTCCCTACCTTCATTAGATTATAATTCCCCTGCTGTGTGGATTAGAGGGAAGGGATCATTTCTCTTATGTCTCCCAGTGCCCAGTCCAGAGCCAGGGCAGGAGGCTGCCTGGGTGGCTATAAAGGCCAGCTCTCTCCCCTGCTCTCTGTCTGTCCCTCCAACCAGGCTCGGAGAAGCTGCCCTGGCTCCCTGGACTCCAGTGTCTTCCTGAGCTCTGACTTCCTCCTTTCTGAAGACCCCAAGCCTAAACTCCCTCCCAGTCCCACACCCCTACCCCTCCTCCAATATCCTGCCCCTGCCAAAGGGCCTGGCTCGGAGCCCTGTCCCCCACCCCTCTTCCCTTCCATGGCCCCACCCGCTGCTGTGCTGCAGGAAGAGCCTCTCTTCTCTCCCAGATTCTCCTACCCAACAGTCCCTCCTGCGTCAGAAGGCTCCCCACTGCCTGCTCCCACAACCTTCCCACTTACCCCACAGTCTGGCACAGGCCCTGCCCCCTCCCACTTCCCCATGGACCTTCTATCCTCGGGGTATCCAGAGCCCCTGTTTGGGCCTCACTTCACAATGCCTCAAGGTGTGCAGCCCAGAGGCAAGCCCCCTACCCCATCCCCTAGGGAGCGGAAGCCCAGCCCTCGGACCTTGGCCCCTGCCATTGCTGGGGGCAACAATTCTTGCCTCACACAGCTCCTCACAGCAGGTGAGATAGAAGGGGCAGGGTTGACAGAGGGTGAGATGGGAACCAAATGTGGAAGTGGGGAGCCTATGGGTTCAGAGGGTAAAGGTTAAGCGGCAGACTCATCTGGGGGAGACAGGGTGGTGAGGAATTAAGGACATGAACCTTGAACCCGAAAGGAGTGTGGGCTATTAGGAGTGGAGGAATGGGGTCTTAGGAGATAACTCTGAGAGAACCGTCACAGTCTGCTTGTACGCAGCCAAGCCTGAGCAAGCCCTGGAGCCACCTCTTGTGTCCAACGCCCTCCTGCGGCCCCCAAAATCCCGGGTAAGATGGCAGACCCTGGGAGTGGAGGGGAGCCTCAGAGCTTCACCCCAACTCTCCATCCTTTCTACCTGAGAGCTTCACCCCTACTCTCCACCCTTCTCTTCAGGAGACGGTCCCTGAATTCCCCTGCACCTTCCTTCCCCCGACTCCGGCCCCCACACCACCCCGGCCACCTCTGGGCTCGGCCACACTGGCCCCTCCCAGGCCCTTGATTGCCCCCAAAGTAGAGCGGCTGTCACCCCCAGCACCCAGCGGTAAAGAGGGGTTGCAGGGATTGGAGGGAGGGGAAGGAAGAAGGGGGGGGGCTATATCTGGGGCCAGGACGAGAGGGACAGGTCAATGGGACCTTCTTTCCTGTGTTGGTCTGTCTGTGGGTCTGTCTGTCTCTGCCTCAGGCGGTGAGCGGCGGCCGTCCGGGGAGCTTAACTCCATGCTGGGCCCAGGGACTCTGAGTGTCCGAGTCTCTCCGCCTCAGCCCATTCTAAGCCGGGGTCGTCCAGACAAGGTGGCACTATCCCCTCACCCTAAAACCTCTTTGCTACCCTACGCCCTCCCACACTCCTTCCTAGGCTCACCCCACTTTTTGTCCCTGCCCCTTCCCTCCCCCCAAGACTGAAAACCGGCGCATCACACACATATCTGCGGAGCAGAAGCGGCGCTTCAATATCAAGTTGGGATTTGACACCCTGCATGGGCTGGTGAGCACGCTCAACACCCAGCCCAGTCTCAAGGTGAGCCCCCAACCTAGGCTGGTACCCCCTCTTCATGAACCCCCTACATAAGACCAAACCTCGGGACCCTCCAGATACCTGGTTGCCTCCTCCCGCCTCCCCAGGGCCTGAGTGGGTCCCAGCACCTGACCCCACACTGGTGATGCCCACAGGTGAGCAAAGCAACGACCCTGCAGAAGACGGCCGAGTACATCACCATGCTGCAGCAGGAGCGGGCGGCCTTGCAGGAGGAGGCCCAGCAGCTACGGGACCAGATTGAGGAGCTCAATGCTGCCATTAAGTAGGCAGAAACCTGCAGGTGCTGGGGCGAGGGGTGCCAGTTACCTGAATCTCAACCCCTGACTCTCTCCATGCCCCCAGCCTATGCCAGCAACAGCTGCCGGCCACTGGGGTGCCCATCACACACCAGCGTTTCGACCAGATGCGAGACATGTTTGATGACTATGTCCGGGCCCGCACGCTGCACAACTGGAAGTTCTGGGTAGTATCCTCACTTTGCCAGCGGCTCGCCTGGCCTGGCTGCAGGCTCAGCTTTGCAGGGTCTCAGCAGGCAGGGTCTGGGAGCTGCTTCCAGGGGAAGAGACTCCAGTTCCAAGCCCTCCTTCTAGGCCTTGGCATCTTGGCCAGCAGGATGGCCCAGTGATGGGCTGGGAGCAGAGGGAGGAGCCCCTGGGTGGGGTGGCCATAGCCCAGCCTACAGAAAGTCCCCAGGGAAGTTTGGGAGAATCTAAAGTCCCCAGGGAAGTTTGGAGTGGCATGAGTGGGCTGGACCCTAAGCAAGACATGGAATTGCTTACCCCCTTACCTAATCAAGCTCTTGACTGAGCCAGGGCAGGAAGCCTAGGAATGTGGGATCGGCCAGCCCAGAAGAAGGGCCATGGCGGAGCTGAGGCAGTTAGCTGGTCAGGCCTTGTCAGAATGAGAGGGCGGCTGCAGTGGGGGTCCTTGGGGTTCAAGGCTTCACTGACACCAGGCCTTTCCCCTGGTTTGGGCCAGATGTCAGGGCTACATGTGAAGCGGGTGAGGATACTGGCTGGACAACAGGCCTGTTCCTTGACCTGGGCCAGTTCAGCATCCTCATCCGGCCTCTGTTTGAGTCCTTCAACGGGATGGTGTCCACGGCAAGCTTGCAGAGCCTCCGTCAGACCTCGTTGGCTTGGCTGGACCAGTACTGCTCCCTGCCTGCTCTCCGGCCAAGTACGTGAGCCACCTACCTGCCCAGTGGGATGACCAGGCCTCAGGACAGAGGATTCCACTCTGCTCAGACCCCAGGGACAGCCTGCCTTCAAAATAGCCTAGGGTTTTGGCCATCCCATCATGCTTTCTGATGGTTCCCCAGCTGCCAAGACACTACAGACAGTCTAGCCAACCAGCATTTCCCCATACCTCCTTATCTTCAGTACCCAAGGGTAGGGCCCTGACCACAGGAGGCATCTTTCTCTTTTCCCAGCTGTCCTGAACTCTCTCCGCCAGCTGAGCACATCTACCAGCATCCTGACGGACCCAGGCTGTATACCTGAGCAAGCCACACGGGCGGTCACAGAAGGCAAACCATTATAGAGCTGAGCAGACCCTGCCATTCACTCAGCTGCCCTGGGGACTACTTTCCTTGGATGTGGCCTCCAGACACAGCTTCTGGGTTCTCCCTTCCTGCCCCCGGCCCTGGTTGTCCCCTTTTCTGAGAGTGAAGCAGGCCCCTAGCGTCTGTCCACCTCTTGGAAGTCAGAAAACACTGAGTTCCAGTGCCTGCTCTGCCAGTGACTACACTGTGATGTAGGGGACTTGTACTCCATCTTTGGACCTCCATTTTCCAGTCTGCAAAATGGGGGTAAGGAAGGCTCAACCAGATGATGATCCCAAGGCCTTAACAGCTGTGACACTTGGGGCCTAAACTGGCAACTCAAGGACCTTGAAGGAGAGAATGGGAAGATCCTATTCCTCTGTCACTCCCACCTGCTCCCCAACAGGTAGAGCACATGCCTCTTGTTTCTGAGCAAAGCAGAAAAGGGAGTTCTCTCTGTGCCTTCACCGGTAACCTAGGGGCGCTGCAGGATAGCACCCCTGGGTGGATGGGTGGACAAAGCCTAGAAGTTCTGGTCCCAGGAGAGCACCAGCACGGGTGGTGGCCAAACCAAGGCAGGCATCGTGTGTGTGTGTGTGTGTGTGTGTGTGTGTGTGTGTGTGTGTGTGTGTGTGTGTTTTGTAGAGAATTTTGACCAATAAAAACAAACTGTCAGGGATGGTCAGCGTATCTTGCTCTGGATTGGAGAGTCGGTTGGCAGTGGGTTGTGGCTTCTGAGCTGGAGAGCCACTGGAGGGCTATGACTAGAGGCGGGACAAGATTCTATGTTAACTTCTTCTGAACGGGATTCCTCTGAGTGCCAAGTTGAGAATAGGCCACACGGGGCAATGGTGAAAGTAAGGCAGCCGGATTTGAGGCTATTGCTGTCATCCAGGCGGGAGATGACACTCAACTCGGAAATCCTCCCTCCCTGGCTAGGAGAAGGTTCAGAGAGGCTCACTACTTTCCAAGGTGGAAGAGGGCAGAGCTGGGATCCAGGAGTGGAAGTGACAGGGCCATCCATCAGAACCATCCAGGAGGAGAACGTGCTGCTGCAGAGAGCAGTGCTGTCCCCACTGTGCAAGATGTGCAAGCAGACCGGAGGGCCATTGGCTGGGATGTCTTAGAAGAAATTGATACTTCAGGTGGGAGTTGGGGTAAAAAAAAACCCTCAATACTTCATTGATCCTTTCATTGGCCCATTGAACAAACATTCCCTGAGGGCCTGATGTGAACAGGCAATGTCGTGGCTCTCGGGGTTCTGTTCTCTGCTGTACTCCTCTCATGGAGCTGACCATTCAGGCCTGGCAAGTTTGAATCCTCTCACATCTCAGAACTTCTGAAGCATTTGCAGGATATAAATACAGTCTTTTGTGGGCTTTGCCCTTCTCATTCATATAGAATAATAACAATAACTGCATAACTATCCAGTGTTTACTGTATGCCAAGCTATCGTCAGGGCTTTATCCCTACTCAGTTAATTCCTACCATACCCACTTCTACAGGCCTGTTGTGAGGATTTGAGAGTAAATACAAGCCCTGGTCAAGTGCCAGGTAGCTCAGTTGGTTAGAACACCAAAGGTTGCAGGTTCAAAACAACAAGGTTGCAGGTTCAATCCCCAGTCAGGGCACATATAAGAATCAACCAATGAATGCATAAATAAGTGAAAAAACAAATTTCTCTATTTCTACCTCTCTCTCTCTCTCTCCTTTTTTTCCCCTTTTCTTTCTCTCTCCCTTCCTCCCTCAGAGCAATTTTTAAAAGGAGTAAATATATGTAAAGCACAACAGTGCCTGGCAAAGAACACTACATAAGAGTTATAATATCCCCATTTCACAGATGAAAACTTGAGGCACAGAGAGATTAACTAGCCCCAGGTTGCATGCTTAATGATGTGCCCACTCAGACTGACATTTCTGTCTTCAGACACTTCTCTTTACTGTGCAGTGACAGGTGCACACAAACTTAAAGTGCTATTTGCTGTTGCAGACCACAACTTGAAGTGACTCTTTGAAAGGTAAAATCCTGGCAGTTTGTGCTCTGCTGTTTTTCACCTACTCATAACTCACCAGGGAGATGCTCATAAGACATCCCCTTGACTCTACTCTCTAGATGCCACCGTCCTGTGAGGGAGTTGTCTTGCTCTCCCCGACCCCTCCCACTTACCCAGCTGCCTGCCTTTGGGCTCCTCCTTCCACCTTCCAGCACAGCCTACCCCAGGACTGATTCCTTCACCGAAGTCCCTCGCCTCCTTCGTTGCCAAATCCAACAACCACTTTGTGTGCTCTTGTCTTTCCCACAGCCCTTAAACCACCTTCTTCAACCACTCTCCCTTCAAATCCTGAATTCCTGGCAGGCTTTCCTTCCTCCTTCCTGACAGTGCCTTCTGCTGTGGGAGCCTCCTCCTCCACCAGTCCCTTTCCCTGGCCTGCTTCCCTCTCACTAGGGCAAGTCCCAGGCAATCCCCTCCCCTCCACCTCTCTCCGAGGACCTTGTGTCTATCTTGCTGGGCCCCCCGGAGCTACACAACCACATATCCAACTGCCACCCTGACCCCTCCCTCTGAATGTTGCACAGCTTCCTTAACCTTGAAGGGGTCAAAACAGAACTCATAATTTCTAAGACTGTACCCCAAGTCTTCCCCCTCAAACCTGGTCCTCTCCACGCACTCCATCCTCAGGAAAGATGCCACCATTCAGACACTTGCATAAGCTGCAAACAGTCATTCCTGGCTCCTCCCCACACCCCACTATCCTGCAGTATCTGTTACAGAGGCCTGGCCAGTTGACCTTGTAAGCATTCATCTCCACAGTCACTGCCCTGGCTCAACAGAACATTGTCTTTGCATGGGTGTCCTGTGTCCCTTACAGCTAACATCAAACTTAAATGTGCATTTAAATAATTTGTTTTTGGGAGGGGGATTTTAAAAAAATCATGACCAAGCCCAATCTGGATCAATTAAAACAAGCTCTGGCCGGGACCGGTTTGGCTCAGTGGTAGAGCGGCGGCCTGCGGACTGAAAGGTCCCGGGTTCGATTCCGGTCAAGGGCATATACTGTGGTTGTGGGCACATCCCCAGTAGGGGGTGTGCAAGAGGCAGCTAATCGATGATTCTCTCTCATCGATGTTTCTAACTCTCTATCCCTCTCTCCTCCTCTCTGTGAAAAATCAATAAAATATATTTAAAAAAAAAAAAAAAAAAAAAAAAAAAAAAAAACAAGCTCTGGTTATGGGGTTTAGACATCAACATCTTTTAAGATATTCTCAATATGCAACTAAGGTTAAGAACTACTGTAATAGAGGCTTTCACCTGCAAATTATATATGTCTGGAGCTCAGGTTAGTTTAAATTTGATTCAGAGACTTTAATGTGTATCAGAAATCACTAAGTGGGCATGTTAAATACAGATTGCCAGACCCCCCACCTCTAAAGTTTCTGAGTCAGCTAATCTGAGGTGAAGTCTAAGAATTTGAATTTATTTTTTAAAATATATTTTTGTTGATTTTCAGAGAGGAAGGGAAAGGGAGAGATAGAAACATCAATGATGAGAGAGAATCATTGATTGGCTGCCTTCTGCATGCCCCTTCCTGGGGATCAAGCCTGCAACTCCAGGCGTGTGCCCTTGACCGGAACCCAACCCTGGATCCTTCAGTCCTAGGGCTGACATTCTATCCACTGAGCCAAAGCAGCTAGAGCAGAATTTGTATTTTTAATGATGCTGGGTCCAGGGCTCAAACTTTGAAAACCACTAATTAAACAATGATGAAATTTAGCGTTCCACCTAACACAGGCCAGGTGTAGAGAAGACTCCAGTCAATGTAAGGTGGATCTTCAATTGCAAATTGAAGTTATGTTTCCACTGCTTCTTTGGCTCCATTGCCAGGTTTTTGACCAGATGTTCAAGGTGCTTTGTGACTGAGCCCTGTGACTGTTCCATAATTACCAATTTGTACTTAATTCCTTCACCTTTTTCATCCATTTCTCTAACCCCCTCCCATCTTTTGAAAACCCAGTCCCCCAACCCTCTTCCTCTCAGACTTTGTGTCTGAGTCTGTTTTGATTTTTTTTTGTTTTATTCTTTAGATTTCACATATCAGTGAAATCATATGATATTTGTAGTGAAATCATATGATATTTGTCTTTCTCAAAGCATAATACCCTCTAGGCCCATCCATGCTGTCACAAATGGTAAGATTTCATTCCTTTTTTATGGCTAAGTAATACCACAGCTTTTTTATCCACTCATCTATTGCTGGGCACTTGGGTTGCTTAGCTTGGCTATTGCAAATAATGCTGCAATGAACATAGGGATGCATATATTCTTTTGAATTAGTGTTTTGGGTTTCTTTGGTAAATCCCCAAAAATGGAATGGCTGGTTCATATAGAGACCTAGACTTTTCTGTCACCCTGAATATACATACCCCTTCTTACCGCATCCTTTCTCTGATTCCATTTGCAACACTCACCCAGACAGGCTGTCATAGTCACTCCCTTCTGTACAGGAATCAGTTCTTCCTCCATACTTTTGCTCATGCCTCGTTTCCCACCTAGAATTCCCTCCTATTTTCTGCCTCACCTGTAAAAATGCCCACCTCTAAAGGGCAGATAGCCAGATCTCGATGCCCCTCAAAATCCATTGGCAGATCTCCCTCCTGATCTGCCCAGTTTATCAAATCCTTCCAAATGTTGGCCTTGGCTTCTAAGTGGGCTTGAGGATAAGAGTAAGACCTTTTTTTTTTTTTTTTTTTTTTTTTTCTACCACAACCCAGTGTGAGTTAGGAATGTAGCAGACCCAACTTTGACTCTGAACTCTATCCCTGGCTTCTTTGTTGACCTTGGGTAAGTTACTTGACCTGAGCTTATTTTTTTCACCTGGTTAGAATTATTTCATGGCATATTAGAGTACTCTATAAAGAACAACTAATCCCTGGCCAGTGACCAGGAGGATTTGGGTTTGATTCCAAGTCATGGGTACATATCTGGGTTGCAAGTTGGTT